ATATTTTACTGACTAGACGTATTCTATATCTTCTCGCCAGAGTCTAAGCGGCTCAATGGCTTCAGGTTTGTATTTCCTGGTGAAAATCATGGACTTGGTCTTTGATGGATTAGCCCTAAGTCCTTTTGATCGATACCAGTCTTGCGTGATCTTAAGGGCTTTCTGCATAGTCTCCTTAAGTGTTGAAAGAAAACTACCGCGCACTATAATGGCCACGTCATCAGCGTAGACAAAGACGAGGAAGCCTTTCTTCTGTAATTCTCGTAGAAGTTCATCCGCGATCAGACACCAGAGCAGGGGAGATAAAACTCCTCCCTGCAGGCATCTTTTAGCGGGGAAACCATGCACACTTGAGTCCCCATGATTGGCAATCAGGGTTCTTCCTGTTAGTATGCTTTGTGTCCAGTCTGCTAAAGCAGCGGGAATATGATGCCCGGTCATTGCTTCTCTGATGACATCATATGAGGTGCTATCGAAAGCTCCCTCAATGTCCAGAAAGACGCCCAGGGCATATTCCTTTGCTTCTAACTGCACTTCGACTCCGCCCACGAGATGGTGCAAGGCAGTATCTGTTGATCTCCCCTCCCTGTAGGCATACTGAGCCGGAGACAGTGGATGTACTAGCAAAGGGCCGATTTTCAGATATTTATCTACCAGTCTCTCCAGTGTCTTCAGTACAAAGGAAGTGAGACTGATCGGTCTGAAGTCTTTGGCTGTTATATGGCCATTTCTACCAGGCTTGGGTATAAAGACTACTCTTGTACCACCCCAAGCCTGGGGGACGTGTCTTAGGGCTATGCTAGCCCTGAAGATTTTTGTGAGTGGACTTGTGAGAACCCCCAGTCTCTCTTGAAGAAGAACCGGGTAGATTCCATTCGGTCCAGGTGATTTATAGGGAGAGAAGGTTTTAACAGCCCATTCAACTCTCTTTGGAAAAACAACCTCAGCTGCCAGACGCCAATCTCTGGGTTTATATTCCTTAGGCTTCGATCGGGAGGATTGTATGTTATGATCAAAACCTGGAAAGTGGACTTCCATTAAATGTTTCAATGTGTCCGTTGCCTCCTCAGCGACATTCCCCGTTAGGAGCTTGAGACAGCCTAATTGGGGACGGTGATCCAAACTGAGGATTCTGTGAAGCCTTGATGCCTCCGGGGCGCTCTCAATGCTTTCACAGAAACGTCCAGCTTTTGCACTTTGATTTTTTAATCTCCTTGCTGTACTCTCGTTGGGAGCTTCTAAAGGCCTCCCAGTGTACTGCAAGTCCTGTTTTTTTCGCCTTGCTGAATTTCTTTCTCGTTTCCAACCTGAGCTTACCGAGCTCTTTATTCCACCAGTGGATCTTGTTCACCGGATTCCTGGGTTTTGGTGAGCAGTTTAATTCAAAGGCGTTTGTAATGGCGTTCTTTAAAAAGTCCGCCGCGTTTTTCAAGTTATGTTTGGTTCTGAAACTGGTTGGGGCCATAGCGAGCTGGGCCTTAAGGTCAGCCCTAAAGCCCTCTCAGTTGGTTTTTCGTGGGTTATAAACCCAGCTGATTTGCGGTATTTGTTGGAGAGTTAGGCGTATTTGTCTGTGGTCTGACCCAGAGGGCTCATTCGATACCCTCCAATCCCTCACCAAACTCGCCACTCTCTCTGTACATACCGTAATATCAATGACTTCCTGTCTTCTGGAGTCCAGGAATGTCGGCTCGTTTCCTCTGTTGAAAATGGTTAATTCTGTGCCTATTAGGTAGTCGTGGAGACTCTCCCTCCGCAGGTTGGTGTCTGTGCTTTCCTATCCTACATGGTGAGAGTTCGCATCGCAACCCAGCAGGAGTTCGAGCCCCCTGGCTTCCGCATAGGCCACCAGGTTTTTTACCTCTTCATGTGGTGGTGGATCCGTGGAGTCATAGAGCATAAACTGACCCTATTAATACTTCCATGTCCTCTTCCTCGGCCAGCTTCACTCTCACCTTGATGACTGTGAGGTCCTCGCTGCTGAGCTGTGGCAGAAAGATAGCATTTAGTTCTTTTACTAAAATGCATAATCTTACTCTATTTTCTGAGTGTGCTTTGTATAAGCAGCCGCACCCACTCAGTCCCTTTACTACACTATTCACAATTTATAGTTCTTGAATTAGTGCAATACTTGTATGCATCACAGCCATGCTCCTGGCTAGGAGCCGAGGCGCTCTTGCTGTGATGCAAGTTAATCTGGATCATTTGGATGCCGAGAGAAGCCATTTTTAGGCAGTCCCGACACCCTCCGACTCCATCTCCTTCTCCGTCGCCTCCCCACGCTCTCGTCCCGCCATCCTAACGGTGGCCCGGCCGAGACCGAAGAAAGGCCTGAAGCCACAGTGCTTCAAGGCTTCCATCGCCGAGTCGCCAACCAGACAAGAGAAGTGGGCGCTCGTAGCGTCCCTCCTATACGTCCCCCTGGTGACGACCCAATCGCTGGTTGCCAGCCCTGTGTTTTGCTGGTTGAGGAGCTTTAAAGCCTCTTCAACCTCTACTTCAGGTTCCTCCACATGCACCACCACCCGATGACGCTTAGGTAGCTCACCAATCGGCAGCACACACAGAGGAGTTCCCCTGACTTTTAAATCAGAGGAGTGGGTCTTAAGCCACTCCGCCGCCTCTTTGTTGGCGCACACAACCATGAGTGCGCCATCCCTCTCTTAGGAACCAGTGAAAGTGGGCTTTGTCATTCTCAGACATATCGAGGATGACAGACCTGATCAGTTTTCTGATCTCAACCACCTCACCGGCTCCCATTTTCTTGTCAGGGTAGCCCTCCAGTACGAGGGCCATCCTGACAAGACCTTTTGTCGCTTGTGCATACGACCCTTTATTTTTGGGTTTCTTGCCCTGGCGGTTTTTTGAGGGGCTGGGAGTAGTGTGCTCCGGCCTGGCGCACTTTGCCGCGCCATCCGAAGCCCGCCTACCCCCAGCTCCACCTTTTGAGCAAGAGGCTGCGGGGGTAGAGGAGGCCTTATTGGCCCCACTCTTTCCGGCATCTCTTTATTATAACGGCGTCTAGCGGCCCCGCTATATCTTATGCGGTATTTTGAGGCTTCTGAGCCCGCTCCCGCACTGCAAGATTCCCCTGGGCGTTTGCCTCCAGAAGAGGCTTCGCTCTTGGGGACTGATTTGGGGGTGATTTTATTTCCGTTTTCAATCATTTGTGTTCCCACGAGTATCGCGGTCGCGCGGTCTCACCCAGCCAGAGCCGCGAATGGCTGGGGCTTGGCTCCGTACTCCTGGATTTTGCCCGGTATCCAGGAGGCACCGTTTACGACGCAACTCCCCTTGCGCCACGCAGCTCTCGGCACGGTCGCTCACACCTTAACTTGGGAGGTTCCTCTTAGTTGGTCACAGACGGGCCCATCCCTGAGCGGATGACCATCGCCCGCGACCTTAAGCTCCACCACCCGCTCCGGCGCGAGAGCCCACAGCCCCCGAGGACACTAGATGCTCACGTTCTGTGGTCAATTGTTGTCCCGTTAGATTACACTTCCATTGTGACGACACGACCAGGCAGATCTGCCAGCGTCCAGAGAGGAGCTGACGATCAATGCCCGGCCACGCCGTCACCAGCACATGCTGGGAACAAAATAACGTTCCGTGTAGTTACTGCGAGGCGGCCAGACCACGTGCGCACCGAGCGCTCCGCGAGCCCCGAGCTCCTGCCTCGGAGCTACTACAAGGTAGGAACCCATTCGGGGGTTCGCAATAGTTATTGAGATATAAATTAATAAATGTGAGCCAATAAGCGCGCGAGAGACAATAATCGAATTCTATAGACGTGCACAATTATCAGCTCTACTCCTCGCTCGCCGCTGCTCGCTGCGTACCAGAGTTGCAAGATCGAGCAGAGAGCAACGAGAGATCGAAGCAGTGAAGATACGTACACAAGCGAAAACCGCACTCTGTGTACGCACACGGACAACGGTTCTCGCTTGTGTGCGTACCCCCACCGCTTCGATCTCTTGTTGCTCTCTGCTCGATCTTGCAACTCTGCTGCGTACTGCCGAATAGCGCTCGGTCGCAAGAAGCTCTGAGTCGTGCCGCGCTTGTTTGTTTATTCTGCCTTTCGTTGCTAAGACATTGCAGGAGAAAAGCCATTTTTCTTTCCAGCTGATAATCGTGCACGCCTATAGAGTTCGATCATTGCTCTCTGTGCGTTCATTGGCTCACATCTATTAATTCATAGTTCGAACTATTGCGAATTTTGCAAACTGGTAAATAACTTTTCTGCTCAGATTGACCCAATCTACACACGTCGGCTTGATAGTTCGTTGTCAGACACCCTGTATAATTGTATATATATATTTTTTAATTTTGTTATTGTTTTATCAGTTATAAGTTCATTAGTTTTGTAAAATTATCATTTTACGTTACTTATGTAAACATTATTACTTATGCCGGTCATAAACAATAAGTATAGTTTATTTTGAATATTATCTTGCATTACTGCGTCAAAAACACTTCTGCATGCGAGTGTACAGTAGAGAGCACCATATCATACGCCTTGAAGGGAAGTAGTTGTCCTCCGGTCGTCTTTTACTACGCGCTGTTCCCCGCCAGCGACCTGAGATTTAATCCATATAGTGAATTCTATATGTAGAAATATAAACGCCGTGATATCTGGCAGTGGCGGCAACTAGTGACGGAGGTTTACTCCGTCATAGTTTTATATTATTTATATTATAGTTTTGAAAAGCTCTTAAAATAAGCTGTAAGAATATGCAATAAAAAAGGGAAGTCTTATTTTTAAAAATCGATTTGATCTTCAAATGCATCCTAAGTTTGATCTCAAGGTCAATTCGAGGTCACCACTTTATGTCCTCTTCCATATCCAACAACTTTTGTATTTAAAGCTTTTCTCCTTTATTTCTTTAAGTTATTAGCCTGAGAAAATTGAAATGGAATATTTATATTGTAGCTTTGTTTATTACTATTGGATATACATTATTCACAACTTGGTTTATTTATATGTTTTAATCGTTTTAAAGGTTTAAAGGATATTACGGCTGAGGTTCAAAAAACACCATTAAGTGAATTCGGAATGAACTCAATGATGGCCGTAAAGATCAAGCAAACGTTGGAACGAGAATTTGACATCTTTCTCACTGCTCAAGACATCCACAAATTAAACTTTGCTAAATTGACAACAATGTGCGGTAATAAATATATAGAACAAGAGAAAACACAAATCGAGCAGAAAACAATTGATATACCCGGTATACAACTGCTGATCCAAACAATAGATGATAAGGACATGATTTCTGAAATTTGTATAGATCTTTCTACCAGAAAAGATCCGCGTAGGATCAATGCATTTATTCTACCGGGTATAAAAAGTTGTATAACAATATTTAAATCATTAGCGTCAAAGATCAAACCTACATCAACTATCTTGCAGTATGGAACAAATAATATCGGTCTCACTCATACATCTATACCAGAATATGCTGATTTTCTTTTACCAGTATGTATAAAAAACGTATAAAAAATTAATGAATCAAAATACTTATATAACATTTATAATACATTAATATAAACTTCTTTTGAACTTTCAGTATATTTTACCAACAGTGGAAAAGCAAAGAAGTTTTGTCTTAGTTGGATATTCGTTTGGTTCGTTACTTGTCATCGAATTAGCAAGACGATTAGAAAAACACGGCTTAACTGGTAGATTAATACTTATTGATGGCACTCCAGATTTAATAAAAGCAATGATAGAACAATATTTACCATTTTCCACGCAAGAAGAACTTCAAAACAATGTTTTATTAAGCATAATGAATACTTTACAACCAAATTTTACTGCAAAGGTAAGTTTCATCATTTTGACTACTAAAATGTTTTTACAAAATCGAATTTTTGATATATTTTGTAATTATTAGATAGTAAATAACATAGAAATAATAACAAAAATAATTTTTATAGTTACGTTCAGATCTTAACAAGTGCACAACTTGGGATGAAAAGTTAAACAGTTTTGTTTCCTATTGCACGTCCGATAATATATCGCTTTCTGCAGAAAATCAGAAGGCGTTATGCACAACCTTTTATAGAGACGTTCTCGCTCTTCAAAAATATGATATATCGTCTTTGTCACAAATACGTACACCTGTGACACTTTTGAAATCTTCATTACATGTTGTTAGTACACCTACTGAAGATTTTGGTTTGCGCAAGGTAAATTAAAAACATTGGATAGTATAATTGTAAAATTATTGAATGTTTATTTTTTTCTTAATCTCAATACTTAATCATTAACAAAAAAAATGTTTTTAGATTACGCTGGATAAAGTCGAAATACATTACGTCGAAGGTAATCATATCACAATATTACAGAGCGACAAAGTAATAACTGCAATTAATGGAGAACCGTTAAAAGATCCAAAAGAATTTAGAAAACTGTTATCAGAAGATCGATCACTCCAATATAGAGAGAGCGAGCAAACAAGAAAATAAATTATAGCATAAAAACTCATTTATGCTAACATAAAAATTCACTTATAATAAAAGAATATAAAGTTAATTACACGTGCAATACAAACGTGTAACACAAACAAAAAAATTATTTTTTTCATATACTTATGGGGTTTTATATGTTAAGTAATAAATACACAATATAAATGTGATTTAGGGAACACAACTTATATATTTGCAAAAAAACATAAAAGAAGAAGCAGAACAAAACCGATACAGCATGTAAGAGAGTTTTATATAATTTTTAATGTTTATTTTAATATATATGCATGTATGTGTGTGCGTGTCTCATCTTAAATTTTGACAAAAATATAAAAATATTAAATTTTGTTCAACAAATGTTGAGTTATTTTGAACTAGTTCTTTTAGCTCTCATACAAATTATGATGAAACTAACGTAAACACTAACATTCCATTATTATCTAAACTTTTAGAAAGAGAAAAAGAAAGCACAATATTTCTAAATTATAGTAATAATAAAAAAATTTTAGTACCAAAAAGTTTTTCTCTTATATAAAATGATCCGGTATTGTCTGTTTCATGGTTATCTAATATAAGAATTAATATTAACAAAAGGAAAGATTGAAAAGAAATACTTGTTTTGTGAAAATATTGTGTGGTAATATATAACACTACCAGAACTTACAAATTTTTATGTATTCTTTGTTGTCCATGTTTACTTGTTCTTAGTCCAAAATTCTATTGCTATTTTTTAACCATAAAACAAAAGTTTGATTTGTTAAGATTTGTTATTAAGTTTGATTTGTTATTAACTGATAATTCTAGAGAACTCTGCGACCTAGCAAAATCCTAGCCTTATATGATGTCTTATCAAAAGGAATTAAATATTTTGTCATGTTCTAGCATACTTTACGATTTCTTTCTTTATTTGCAACATTGCTTGTGAATTCTTTGAAAACATTTAAACTGTTAAAATGATAAAACCGTTGAAACCGATTTTGAGATAGAAAATTTATAAGATTAGAAAGAAATCATAAATTAAATAATCTAATCTTTAACCTTATCCTGTAAATAAAAATTATAAATTAAAACTTTCATCACCAAATAGAGTTTACTCAGTAGAATCGCGCATTTATGGAATATTGTTTAGGATTAAACTATGAAATCTTCTTATCTCATTTAGAATAATGCAAAACGGATACACAAAGACAAAACAGTACTAGTCTTTGATAATAATTATAACTTTAACTTTTTGGCTACAGCTGAACTAGCTGTGGGGCTGTACTACTATACGGAGTATAGTTGCGGAGTATAGCAGTTCTGTTGCAAAATGTGAACTAACGATATTAGTAAAAATTGTAAAAACATGCAAAACATTCCCGTATTGTAATGGGTGTGTTTAGCCGAAGTTAGCGCTACGTAGCGGCTTCATGTAGCAGTTGCAATTGCTGCGTTACTTCTGCTGGACAGTATTGCTACGCGCAGCGCTTTTTGTAAGCGCAAATATGTTTGTATACAAATCGCCGTTGTAT